TTCAGCTCTTTTCGTTGAATTTTCAAACGAACTGCAGCAAATTTTATCTATTGTATGCTTTCATTGCAACGTGAATACACTGTAGAAACAATTTCAGATGGTTAGATGCTTGAACTCATTGTACCAGCACAATTTTTGGATCATTTTACTCTGGGTATGGGAAAGATATCAGTTACTGTAAAAAATAATTTAAGACACAATAAGAGTGATATGTTCGAATATTTTCAAAAATTTCCATTCTGATCATCAACCAGAACAACTATCGCTCATTTGCGCGCATGTTATATTTTGCAAACGACAGTGCAAACTATGAAACGTCGGACGTTGGTCAGGATCGTAATGCCAACATGGAAGCAAGAATTCATGATAAAAATTGGATGATGAGAAGTCGGGTTTGTCCAGATAAATCTAAATATGAATTGGTCTGGTCTTATGCAAAATTATCAAATTTGTTAGAAATATTCCTAAGATAGCTGAGAGTACTTATTTGACTCAGTTATTTATAAATATGCAAAGATCGAGAAACTATTATAAAACTAAATTGATCTCTTGACTCGTGGATGTTATAAATCTTTCTGACTGAGTTTTACGAAGTCAAAAAAATCAGGAAAATATTTTCACTGAAAATTTTCATGCATAGCTCTATCTTTTTTTATTTTAAATTTGTATTTACGATATCTTATCAGTTGGATCAAACTTAATTACATCGAAGTCATTTCTGAAACTGATAATTAAATAGGAGGTTTTATGTGATATATAACTAACTTTTAACGTTCCATGACGCTTCATAAACAATAAATTCTTATATACATCGCTGTCGTTCAACATTTCGTATGGATATTTGTTGCATACATTGAGGACTTCCCATAAGGTCACTCCAAATGACCACACATCTCCTTTGCTTGTTGGTGAACTATTCTGTAATCGATATAAATTCTCATTTTTGTTGGTCAAAATTAAGGAAAGATTTTAATATCGTGTAGTATTTTTGTATACCAATGTATACTATTTGGAGGTAGTTAAGATTTTTTTGATCAAAAATGAAACTTTTGAAAGTTCTAAAAAAATCTAAGAAAATCCTGCAGTGTTCTTAAAGCACTTTATGAATGGTATTCCATAATATTAATCTTTCGACATTTTGACTGCAATTATTAAAGGTTAAAGATTTTTGACTTGAATATAAAGTCTGCATCACTTATAAAAATCAGATAATTTCTTATTTTTTCATTTTTTCAAATGTTAACTATATATTGATGCTTGATTTTTTCTATCGTTACTGTATTTAATCAAGCAATTTATTTCTGAAAATTTATGCATATTGAGAAAAAAATATGCTTAACTTCAAGATTAAAGTTTAATTTTTTGATTAAACTGAAATCTTTATTATACTGAATCAAGAATCCTTTTCCATGTTAGAAAAAAACAGAACCTATATTCTATTTGAAACAGAATTCCCTCAAGTCACCCTTTTTATTTTCGTATGATAATACTTTTAAGAAACGATTTTAGTATTAAATTTTTAAATTTTACTTTCATGACATGTTCCCAAGATAGCCATCGAATTTTGCTAGCACTGGCTCTGTGATCCCTTTCATAGTTATCAATTGCGGAAGCTAAGCTGAAGTATGTTAATTTGATAGTTCCATCTGTAGCAACCAAACAGTTATTTGCAGAAAGATTGCCATGAACAAAACCGTTAGACTCCAAGTATGACATGCCAGCCGCAATCTGTGTGCTAACTGATAACAATAGTTCAGTCCTGAAAAATAAACATTGAAAATAATGGCATAGATATGTACTAAATTAATGAGTTACAAGCTTCTAATAACTACTTCAAACTTAGCCCAAAGTAAAGTTACCAAAACTAACTTATATTCAGACTGAATAGTCAGATTTCGAAGGTAATGGCTGAGATGTTCTTCAAAATACTCATGAATACAACTGCATAGTTTTTCGTCACAACACATGCCGATAACTTCTAAAATATTCTGATGTCGCAAACGACTCAATTCAGCAACAATAAATTCGAATTCGTTGCGAGTGTGATCAACGATATTGTTATCTTGACAAGTTTTATTCAGTACTTTGCGTTCTTCCAAGTTGCAAAGCCAAACCTTGAAGATTTATAGAGTTGTTTTATTTTTTGTTAAAAAAAACTCGTTTTTTACGTTTAAATCAAACCCGCGTCAATATCTTTACGTAAGGATTTTTGCGTAATTTTGAATATAAAATATCATTTTTTGCATTCCAGAACATTGTGATAATTTGTATCGTTTCTAAGCACAAATATGTATTCACTGACTTGTAAATCCTTCCCCGAGAGCATTAATAACTTCTAGGGCAAAGCAAGACTAATTTCTAAACGATTTAAAATACTGGAGGTTTTAAATTCAATCTCTAGAAACTGACCTCACCAAAGAGTCCTTTACCCAAACATTTGTGAAATATGAGAGATCTTGGGTCAATTTCAACAAAGTTTCTCAGTTTACTTGCCATTTTCACTTCATTGTAATCCCTCGATAATTGTGATACTGTAGAATGACTACAAAATTAAAATATACTACTCGTTTTTCGGTATAATGATTCAAAATTTCAATGACATGGTGGATTACAGTAAAAAATTTTTTAAATCATACTTCAATGAAGTGTGTTAAAAAAAAAATTTTACTGTAATTTACCATGTCTACTGCTGGTCCAGTAATTTTAATTTCCTTTTCATAATTTCAAAGATTTTATACTTTTCAAAATTAATAATCATTATGGAAACTATTAATAAAGTCTTTATTTTGATGCATGAGATTGAAACTCACTTACTTTAGTGATGTGTATCCTAACTGTCGTGGATGGCGTGCGCAAATTTCATGTGAAGCGTAGTGAACAGTACAATCAGAAGACGATTTTGATGTATCATTACACAAAGTTCTATTGCTAGTACTTAATTCTTTATTGCTTCTAAAAAAAATTTTCACGCAATAAGTTATATTCCTGAAATATTGCAAAATATTTTTCAATTATATGATAACTCTGCAATTAAATGAGTCGTTGAAAAAGTTTGAACTTGACGTTGATAATTTTCAAATAAGATTGATAAACATTTAAACGATTTATACAAATAAAAAATTGCTGAAGGAAATTTCAGATTATACCTAATGACATAATTTGGTTCAGCGTAGTCACTTCCCGATGATCGATTTAGCTGAAACTTTTCCAACAGCAAATTTTGCTCATTATCAGTAATTCGATAAGCGTTGGGTGACGTACGCTGCAAAATTGATTTATCAAGTTTTGCTTAATTTTCACGGAAAGATATTTGATTCAGTAAGAAGTTTGTTTCTCTAATATATTTTTTCTTTTTTATCGTTGAAAAATGTTCCTTGTAATTTTACGTGCACAAAATGCTTGAATAAGTTTATTGTATGAGTTACTGCAAAAATTCAGAATCGGTCTTCTCTCAAAAAAAGGATCAAAAAAAGTAATATATACCTTGACTACCGGCCGTTCTATGGTCATTCCTATATCTTTCGAACTTTTTTTGAGTATCAAAAATGATATGCGCCGTTGAAACGTGTGACGATAAACTATTAACAAGTAGAAAAGTATGATAACAGAAGACAATACCAGAATTAACGATATTATGGCAGCTGAAAAAATTAAATGTACTCAATTACTGACTAAAATCTGATTTATTTGAAATTCAATTCCGTAATTTTGTATTTTTGAAAAATTGTTTGTAATATGTGTGTGATAATTTACCTAACTTTACAGCTTTAAATCAATTCTGAATCTGAATATTTTAACGCCATTTTTAAATTTAAGTTGGAAAAAATAACAAATATTTGAATTTGTAAATGTACAAGGAACTCAAATCCACTTAATTGCTTATATTTCTGTTCATTATAACCTTGAATCTTTCCCAAGTTTGTGCTAATTAGATTAGTTCATACTTAGTGCTGTATGTTAGTGGATTTCTTCTTAAATTTATTTTATTACGTAAGACTGCATGAAAAGCAAACCAATGGATAACAACCGTCCACTTTCTTCAGATGTGTCATTGATAGCAAAATAAGTTAAGGTATCAACCGTATTCAAGGAGTGGTCCAAATCAAACTCTTCATCAAATTCATCAGATCCGTATAATTCATTTGCTATACAAATTATTCATCAAGTTAATAATTATGCTCAAAAATGCTTGTCATTACTTAAATTAAAAACCTTTCCTAATAAACTTCTTTTTCAATAATTTCAAATCAAATATGATTTTTTGCATAATTTTTGTTCTATTAAATTATATCTAATAATAAATTAGATCATTTCGTTTTCACAAATTACTTTTCAGCAAATATTTTTCGATCAAAATTATTTTAAAAGTAATTTTTGCGCAATTATTGATCAAAATTATCAATCACTATCTCATATAAATTCAATTCTGTTCCTTTAGACTATTTTCAAAGCAAAAGTTCAAAAAGGGGTCAAAGCTTACTGAAATCGAATTTCATTTCGCTTAATAGTAGGCAACTGCTATTTCTTGAAATACTGAGTTGAACTCGAAGTTCTTTAGCCATTCTATTTGGCACAGGAATCCGAACCCATCTAAAAAATCAGTACCGTAATTTAATATATTCTTTTACTTAAAGACTGCATTTAAATTGAATTTGAGTATTCCATTTTATTACACTGAATTTAATATAAAATCAATAATTACAAAATATAGTTAAGTTCAAAATATTTTTCGCACTTAATTGTAAAGAATTACAGATGAAAATTTATTTTTTGTATGAAATATCTTCAATTTTAAAATTATTCTTCAATTGTCTCAGTATTTATCATAAAATGTTAATTAAGCACTCTTCAAACCTGGCTGATTGAAAGTATTTATCAGCAATATAATTAAAATATAATGTTCTTGGAGAAAATTCCCCTTCACCACGGGGTGAGAACCAAATATGAGCGCTCTCAAAGACCTTAAAGTCACCAAGAAATTAATAAGTCATTCAACATCAATTTTGAACTTGCTACAGTTTTTCAATATTTAATTTCAATTAATAAAGAAAAAACTGAAATTAGTAAATTAATTACCATATTTTTGGTAATCAAACAACAATACGATCTCTAATTCTTAATAGTTTTTGCTATGGTCAATCATCAACTAACAATGTAAAAACTAAAAAGTTTCCGGAAAATGTGATATAAAATATTTCTATACTTTCACAACCTTTTTATCTTTCAGATTAAATACAAATGATTATATAAAATATATAAAAAGTTTTATATATTTTATATTTTAGTTTGTGTCCTTATAATTAGGACGAATGTATTGCAAACTTAACTGTGGAACTGCCATACTAAATATGCTCCAAGTAACTACTGATAAATAGCTGATTAGCAATAGTTTTTAGCTAGCTACTTTTAGGTAACCATTCAGTAGCTTATTAGGCAGAAACTAAGATAGGATTTGACGCTTAGAAAAGCAATTAAATAAATGTATTACTTGAGCACCACTCTTCAGAAAATTCGAAACGTGGAAGAAAATAGCGCTGATTATTTTTTTTCTCTCAAAAATAACTTCTATCGTTATTATTTCTCCTGTAAATTTCGCAGTACTTTTTGTACATTCTTTTCACTTTTATAGAAAATTAGATTAAAAGCAAAAAATAAAAGATATTAGATGTGTATATCTGTTTAGAATTGATTACACTGATATAATCAAATGTGATATTACTTTTCGCACCGCTACTTTTGAACTTATTTTAATCAGTTTTAAATGATCTGATTAATTTTAATGCTTATGTTTATGCAATTTTTAATGAATTGTCATATTTGTACTGAAATATACTTTTTCAACATTTTAAAAAGTAATAAGCACATTCAATTTAGTAACTGAGTCAGAAATTATTTGCCTGAACAGTTCTCATTGTGATCTTAATTGAACTTGTAATGAATCAGCAGCTAATATTAATTAGCCAGTTAATAAATGCAGTCTAGAAGAAAAATTTTAACTAACTTTAACTTCGACAAAAAAATTATATTTGATTTCAAACAGAATTTTTAAACGTAAGTATGAATAACACACCGTGTTTTTCCTTGCACCATCCAATCCAGTCTTGAGGTTTTTTTTCAAAGTTATCTACGCCAAGTGCTCCATCGTACAGTTTCCCGAGACCATTTGTCAAATAGTTTGAAGAATTTAATATTCCATCATATGTATCATCTTTCAAATTTAATCCATCGACAGTATCACCTTCAGGTATTGCATACGATAATAACTGATCTGAAATATTTTTTTTCAAAAAAAGAAAGTATGTTATCATATAGTTTGTCGACATGAAATCAATGATAATACCGTATTACAATACAAAACAATGTTATTTGTGTCCCGGTTACTGTAAAGTTGTTTAAAGTTACTATCTTAATTGAAATTCTAAAGAATATTTTAAAAATAAGACTCAATCCAATTCTATAAATTTTAAACTCAAACATGTTAATTCTTTGTTAAATTTTATAGAAATGTGCAACTATTGTTAATATGACTGAATATTATTTATTCAAACTTAAAACATTTGAAGTCCACAAAAGAATATTTTATTTTATTTGTGGTAATTTTCGAGAACCTTTGTAAGTACAGCCATATAGTTCAATACGCATACAAACAGTTCGTGTAGATTCAGAAACTGGTATTACACGTATGTTACGTGCGACGATTCCACCATTTAAAGCTCTGAGAACTGTTGACTGTGTATCGCTATTTCCACTGATTACCTGCAAACTTGCAAAATTAAAAATTAAGAGAGTATGAAAATATTAACCACAGTTTACTGATTCGTAGTAGTGACAAGTAATTCCCAAAATTTGCTGCAATTAATCAAATTGAAAATCTAATATTCATACTCTCTACGAATCAGATTTGCTGATCACTCTAGATTTGCTGATCACTCTTATCAGTTATAAACTTTGAAATCAGAAAAGATTAATGAGTAGTTGTATTTGTTTATTTGAATTTTGTAAACTTTCATTGATTGAAAACGTTCCAATCCTAATTTTTACTATTTTTCGATACATATTGCTTTGTTGCGCTGAGAATTGTATATAAAACCACGTGGAATGATCATTTGATACTTAGCATTATTGCACAATCAAATGTGTTTTGTTGCATTTCAGTAATGCCAGCATTTTGATTAGATTAAGATGAGCTCAAATTTCCTTGAATTTCTTTAATTATTTATGCAAATTTTTGAAGATTTTGTGAGCATATGTTAATTATAAGAGTTTTCAATTTGATGTCTATTAACAACTTTACATCAGTTGCTTCTATTCTCTATGAATAAACCTTTTAAGTAAATGCATAAATTATCTTAGGCATTTTGCACAAGTTTCACTGCAAAAATATATGTAAATTTTTTTTAATTTAAATTTCAAAAATAGATCAAAACCAAATGAGAAAATTTTTCACTTCATTTTGTTTTCCATTCTTGTACCGAGCCCAGGTACCCAGGCTTTCACGCCAATATTCAAGCATGTAACCTGGAGCATATTCTAGGCCACGTCCACTATCAAAACGTCCTTGTGACTCAATTGCCGTGATTACCATTTCTACATTAAAATCAATTTGTAACCATTCTACAGTCTCTGCTCCAATTTGTTGGCGTGGACACCACGCACCACTTCCGCGTTCCGTGCGTATTCTAGTAGTGAAATTACAGATTCAAAAATTAGTACGAATAACTTACAAAAAAATCTTCCAAAAAACAAAAGTCTTTGTTACAGCAGTGAGATGTGAGTTTTCAATAAATGGAAATGTTTGTCTTTTTCTGTTTAGAATTTTCAAATAAAATAAAGTAAAGTAATCTGTCCCGACTTTGCACAATTACTTCATAGTGGCAGGCAATAGAAGCAGTAAATATAAATAAAATCAGTATTATTCTATTGGGTCCAAATTATCTAACTGAATTCAATTAATTATTTATACGCAAAATTCAGTATGAAATGTAAATAAGATTAGTCTCAAGCTGTAACAGGAGAAATATGCTTCCTAAGCATTTTAAAATTAAAATTTCTAGTATAGATCTTGAGAATTTCCAATAAAGATTAACGAAACACATCTCATTCTAATAGATTGCAAATAAGAGCCTCTACTTTGTACACTAACCTTTGCCCTTAAAAGATTCAAAACCTGAAAATTCAGTCCACTCAGCAGAGTAACTTAGTTTACTAATACTACTAGTTCACATTTGTTACAGATAAATATAGTGATTGATTTTTAGTCAGCGCAAGTTAAAGCTTAAATGAAATTTAATATGCTATTGATTATTTGTAATGATTGTGTAAAAGTAAATCATTTTAAGCATAATAAACTGAAGTTAAATTTAAATGAAAGTTTCAACTATAATTCAAAATGAATAATATCTATTTTTATTGCATCAAATTTATAAATGATATGAGTTTTCAGTACAATTTTGTACAAAATGATTTAAATTTTAATCAAAAATTTCTTTAAAATTACAGATTGTAAATAAATGAATATTATACAGAATTATTTGCACAAAAATTACTGTGCTTATTCTAGCATGTGTACAGTGCATTTAATTTAGCTAAGCAAATCAGCATAAGTTAAAGCTGAAAAATAGATTACTCGGTTTTTTAAAATATCGAAGTTTATAATTAGATAAACCTGGAATTTTGTGGTCCAGTACTATCTTTGTCATGACTTGAACTTGCAGATAATTGACTGTCTCGAATTCTGCCTGATTCCATACCTAGCGGATTTGCACATTCTTCTGAAAATTCCACTATGCAAATATAAACTTAAAAATAATTTTACAAGCACGTTTTTTGCAAATTTAAATTTAACGATTTTCTGAACACAGCTAAGAATTTGTGTTACTATTATTATTCTTATTATCCGTATTATTAATATTATTATTGTTGCTATTATTATTAAATTTTCACAGTTTCTAGTGCAGGTTTTCATGGAAATTATGCAAAATAAATTTTTAAAAAGGCAATTAAAATTGCAATATTTAATCGAAATGTCAATTCTTTAAAGTTTTCATTTATTATCTTGGTGTCTCAGTCATATTCTAGATAAGTACCATAACTTTTCTTAACTGCTTACAATTTTGTTCTCATGTCTACTAAGCGTGAATCCATCTATCATAGATATCAAATAGTTGTATTTTTTGTTTGCTACTGATTAATCACTCCAGCTAATTTTTATTGTTGCTACTATTATTAAATTTTCATAGTTTCTAGTAGTCCAGTGATTATTATCTTTCTTAGCAATTACATAAAGTTCATGCTATCAAAACCTGATATATTTTGTGAAGTTTTAACAATCAGAAAATATAACAGATCTTTGGGGAAACTGAAGATTTAAAACGGTGCAAGTAGAATTTAAAATAATTACGTAAGCTGCATCTTATGCAATAAATTTGAACAAATTCACTTTTTTTACAAAGATTTTTCAATTAAAAAAAATTGTAACAGTAATCCCAAATTGGAAATACTGACTTTATTTTATTATTTTATCCTCTTTATCCATTCCATAAAAATATCTGTTAATTATAATGTCGGCTGACATAATTATATACTCATTTTTCAGAACCTTTTAATCTTTTCTTTTATTAAAACTTATTTTGGCATCATTACTTTAGGAATATTTTTCAGTTGACCAAAGCATTTTCAGAATTACTCTTCACAGTTAAAAGAGAATCATAGTTAATCCCTGACCACCAACAGGCAACAACTTCAGATATCTCTTTGTAGTTCTCAAGATATGCAAATTAGTGAGTTTAAAAATTTTTATTGATTTATATTATTGGTTAGCATCTCACTTAGTTTTGAAATTTTTTTAATCTAGGTCAGAACCTTTTAAAAGCATACATATTTCTAAATATAGCGTCTGTGAATAGCAGCTCTGAAAATGTTCTAATTAGGTGCAAAAGCTCCGTGGAATAAAAGGGCTGAAATGAAATAACTTTTAGCTTGGAAATTTATAAAATACTAAAATCTTTGATTATTACCAAAATTACTAAAGTAATTAGAAGTTTGGTTTTTACTTTACCTGAGAAATTTTTATTATATTGTATCAATAAGCGGAAGTATTGTCGTAAAAAAAATACTTAAAAACATTCAGCTTTAAAAAAGTTATTTTTTAACTTTCAGATACAATTATAAGATACATGTGATTGGCAGATTCTAAAAAGTTGCAGTTTTGAGTACTGTATAGGTTTTGTATTTAACTTAAAGCTGTTTTTCAGTAGTAGTGTTGCAGAACGTGATGAATAACTTTAAAAATTTCCCCGGAATCATTCGATCTGCTTGACAAAATTTTCAATAAAAATAAAAGTTACTCAAAAAATAAATAATTTTAAAAATAAATTAGAGAAAAAATATAGCAGCACAATTATTTAAAATAATATTTACAATAAAAGGAAATAAAATTCTGATTGATAATTGGATTTTTTGAGACTTTACTCTCAATTATTCGTTCACATATTTTTATTACAAAAGTTTTTTAGTTGTATTATTTTACTAAAGCCGAAATTCATGCGTATATTTTGTGTTGATTGCTCACAGACTATTTATTGATAAGACAAGAAGTTAAATAAAAAATAGATATGAAATATTCATATATTCGTACCAAAGCTGTTTTTTATTATTCTTTTATTATTACAGTAAGAAATCATTTTCAGAACTGTAATGAATTCAGATAATTTATGAGGAACTTCCAGAGGATAATCTGCGTTGACCCAATACTTTTTTGCAGGTGATGATGCCCTGAGCAATATCTTATAATATTTGATAATTACGATCGAATTTAAGCCTTACTTTTATAGTCTTTAATGAAATATTGTTGACATAATAATTCCAGCCATATGGTATAATAATGTCTTTTCATCACTGAAAGTGAGAATAACTCAAGGTCAAAGGTCTAATCAGAAAAAAAAGATCGAAAAGTCTTTATCTATTTTAATTTTCAGCTTCAATCTTTGTGCAAAATATCTCAACTTATGGCCAAGTATTGTCTTTTACGGTTTTAACTTGACTCTAGCAAATAAAGTCCTTCCCTTTTTCAAATTATTTTCGATCAAATTTATGAACAAAAACAATTTTTAGAAAATGCTTTAAAAGAAGAAATGCTGTATTTTATAAATCACGGTCACCAAACATTAAAATATAAAACTGAAATAGCTAAGACAGCTTCAGAATTTGCCCAAATTTGTGTCTTTGAGTACATTTGAATAAGCAATGAAAGTATGTAGCAATTAATAAAATAGTTTTTAAAGTGAGCATATTTTCCACACTTTTTTTTCAACAAACTGTTTGTAACAAAAAATTTTCATTTGTATTTTCATACAAAAACTAAAAATTATGCGCATTTTCTCGTCACTAAATTTGCTTACAAACTATTCATTGATAAGTCATCAAAAAGTTAAAAGATATCACAAGCTTAAACACTTCTAATAAATTCATTCAAAAGTATTCACTGCTAAATGTTTTCCTTTCAGATTTTATTTATTAATTCATCGAAAGTTCAAATTGAAACAAATTCAGGAAATTCCGGAATTTGCAGCAAAATTATTTTTACTCTACAAAAATTTTATTTTTATTCAAATAACTTTTTTATTCTTTTTCTAGCATTCATTTTCTTCTTTACGTACTTATTCACTAATTCTATACTTTATTAGTTTAGGTAACATAGTTTTATGTCACAAAATTATTAGTAGTGACAGACAAGTTTTAATTGCTCATTTCTGATGTCGTGCTCAGCTCATTTCTGATGTCGTGCTCACGTAAAATTCATTATTTGGCATAAAATATAGCACAAAAAAGGAAAAACATTATTTCATGACATTAAATTACCCATTTCTGAATACTTTTGTAGTGGTTATTGCCGATGACCCCGAGAGATAGAAATTTTTGGTTATTCGCTGACTGTAATGCTCCAAATCACGAAATTATTGAAGCAATAAAAAGCAGATATTACCCAGCGCAATATCTGTTTGAAACATTTGCTACCATCTCTTACACAACCTCATTCCAAACTTACAATTGATAAATTGCACACAAAAACTCAAACAAAAATTTAAATCTGAAAAGTTGACCTTTGAAAACAAAAAATACTTTAATTATAAAAAATCTATATATTAATAACTTGATGTAAGTATGTAAAATCACATAAATTTGGTTGACATATACAAACTTTTTATAGCGTTGCTGCTTTCGAATTTTTCATTATCATCTAAAATTAGCATTTTTAAATTTGAAAAAAGAATTTTTTGTCAGCAATTTTGTGCATAACATTTTTCTTAATATGCTGATTTACTAAAAAGTATGGACAAGTTTTTAGCTAATTTCTCTAAACTCGCTTTATAAAGGTACTGAAACGTAATAATTTCGTTCAACTTTACTATTTTCATAAATTTCATGCATAGCACTTTTTTCATGCATAAATTTTACGCTTATCGACTCATTACTATTGCATTGCATTAAAAAAATTTTTGAAAAAAAGCTGGCACATACATCCATTTTTTATTTTTTTATTTTGTAAAATTTTTATTGCAAAATACGATTTATCAGAAGGACACAGTAATAAATTTATCAATTGAACAGTTGTTAGAAAAACTGATATTTACTCTGTCACAAAACTTATCCTTCATACTATTAACTTGATAATAAATAATTGATAATTTTCATTAACACTTAACTTCTGCATAATTAACCCATAAAAATATGCTTTTATCTCAATCAATCACTTTACTCAAAGCTAGCGAATTCTCAAGCGGTCAACTTTTAACAACTGACCAGGTGTTTAATACCAATAATAAACTAATTCGTGTAATTTTCGCACATTTCTTCAGTATTTTTACTTTGTAATAGCAAAAATATAAATGCGATTTGTTAGACACGCATAGTTCAATCGATTATTGCCATTCTTCAACATTGCAATAATTAGTAAATATACTCTCAATCTTTGTAAGTAATATTTTCAAAAAAGCTCTGCTTATTTTTAACCATGCTAAATGTTTAAAATAATTTCGAGTAATTCAAATCAAATGATCCATATGAATTACCTGAATCGTTTCTAGCAATTTCGACCAATTTTGATGCCTTCAAAGCTTTGAATTTTCTCCGACATATAATATAACCTTGCTCAAATTGTCATCTCAAAATTGGACAACTATTGTTATAGTTTTTGATAGATCGAAGGTCAAAGACGAAACTATCATCATTTTTTCATGTCAAGTATAATTTGCGGTGTTGTGAGCCAAGATGACCATATGGTAACAAAAGAACGGTTGTTTCTCTTAAAGTAATTCCGAAAAGTCTCATTCAAGTACCACAGTTAATTCAGCGTTAATTATATTTAATATTTTTCAGGCGAATATACGCTTAATTACTATAACATAAGATGGATAAGAGTACTTTTAATATCAAATGATGCTTATAAGAGAAGTAGTACTTAAACTGAAAACAAGAATACAACTTTAACAGTCTACGTAATAATGCACTGAATTGACGTGAGATCGTGAGATAGATCAGAAATGTTTTTATTTTCTGCTTTATACTTTGTGTTTTATTGTATATAAAAACCTATCGGAATAATCAATCTATCAAAGAATTATTCACATAAGTTATTCATTAAAATGGATATCATCAATTATTAATCATTTTGCGAAGTTTAAATATCAAACTACTTTTAATTAAAATAAATGATATCAATATCATTTATTTTAATTAAAAAAAAATGA